CCTATGAACTAATTTAAGGTGTAGAGAATTGCAGAATTCTTGAGGCTAGGGTTTTAAAAATACTAGCTGTGCTCTGCGCTAAAAGTAGTGATATATGTGCTGGGTGTTGCTCAGTGCAAACAATTGTGGGTAAGAAACTTTTTCCTGCAGCAGAAATACAAAGAACAAAGATGCCTACTACTTGAAAGTACTTTTTGTAAAAAAAAAAAAAGATAAAAAGTGAGACAGTAATGATCAGTAAGATAAGCTGTTGCAGAACACAAGTGTGCTGGCTTGAAACTTTTGTATATATCAACAAGTTTCTAGGTGAGATTTGAGGTAAAATGGCTTTGTGTACATTTACGCTTGGCAAATTGTCCTGATTAAAATGCAGGTAAGGAAAAAAAAAAAGGTAGTCTGACTTTTTTTCTAATGAGTCCCTTCTGGAAAGGGTACATCCTGCTTCCACTACTTCCTGTGACTAGCTCTGTGACACAGACACTTCTGTGTAGACATTTGTAAGACTTCAGCATTCAGTTTGGTTCCGTAACCCAGCAGAAGACAAATATAGCCAAAAGAATGAAAACTACTCTGCTGAGTGAGAAAGAAGAATTATTTTAATATGAAGTTGATGGGTGCTGTAAAGGATAGGATGTAGCATATACTGGGACAGGGTAGAGGGAGGGAAAGTAAGGGGAGGAGTTGTGCATCTTTTAGCAGAACAAAACTGTAAGATCAGCTCAGTCATTTTGTACAGGTCCACCTTCAGAAACACCACGGGAGAGAATGTGAAGGTACTTGATTGTTGCTGTGGGCCAGCTTGAGATAATTTATATTGAAGAAGATTCTTAAGTTTGTCAAGTCCAACTGTAAACCTGACACTACCAAATCCACCACCACACCACAAACACACATGTTGTTAATTGCCGCGTCCACACGTATTTTAAATAACTCCAGGGATGGCAGCTCTACCACTGCCCTGGGCATCCTGACCCAATGCTTGACAACCCCTTGACTGAAGAAATTTTTCCTTGCATGATTTGGCATCTCTTTAATAAATGAGGTAAATCAGGAAAGAATAGACTTTTGGGAGGTCTTGAAATTGTAACAAGTAGCTTCTCTTCTTTGTCTTTTTTT